TATATATATATCCGCTTTGCTCTGGGTGCTTTTAGAAGGAGCTGATCTGCTAATCTAAGGGACCGAGCAGGACAGTAATGTTTTAGTAGCTCAGAGAGGTATGGTGGAGCTAGGCCATTTATTGTCTTATAAGCAAATAAAAGGATTTTAAAATGAATTCTAAAATGGACAGGGAGCCAATGAAGTGAGGCCAGGATTGGTGTTGTGTGTTCCCTCTTCTTTGTCCCAGTTAAAAGCCGATCGGATCCAGATATCGGATCGTAACAGCCTAACGTGTAGCCTCACTTTCGAATGTGTGACATGTTTCATGGAACATACTTGTCCCTATTAAATAAACAAATAAATAAATAAATAATCTGGGTGGAGCTCATTGGCTCAGATGTCCAGTTTCTGTTTCCAGGAGGAAAAACCACAGAGGAAGACGGCGTTCCGGCCTTTGGCAGCGTTCCCTACATCGCCAGACCTCACCCCGAACAGATGAGCCACACAGGTCAGAAACTAGGCCCGTCCGGGCCCCGTTGGGACTAGGGTTTGTCTATAGCAGTGTTTTTCAACCTTTTTTGAGCCAAGGTACATTTTTTCATAGAAAGAATTACGAGGCACACCACCAACCAAAAATGTCAAACAAATCTGTATCCGCCTATAGTAACACTATAGTTATTCTTATTTTATTCTTATCTTATCTTAAGTGTCTTGAATAGGAATCAAATAAACACAAAAATGTATTTTTATCATATTTTATATATCTTCTTTCAAATTGCACTTAACATGTCCACTTCAATATACAAAATTATATACAAAATCTAGTCATAAGGAATTATTACATGATTACTCCACCAGTCACTAGAACAGCACACACACTCAGAAATGGCATATTATTTACAGATAATTAATTCCTTATCAAAATTTTTTTTTAAACCAAATAGGTGAAATTTCTACGGCACACCTGACCATCACTAACGACACACTAGAGTACCGAGGCACAGTGGTAAAAAAACACTGGTCTATAGCAGTGTTTTCCAACCCCTGGTCCTCGGTACACTAGTGTGCCGTTAGTGATGGTCAGGTGTAGAAAATCATCCTATTTCACCTCATTGGTCTAAAAAGATTTTTTGATGATGAATTAATTTTGTGCAAATAATATTCCAGGCTGCCGGCCAGAGGAGCCAATCCAATCCACCTTTATTTATATAGCACGATTTTAACAAACACAGGGTTTTCCAAAGTGCTGCACAAAAACATATCAAAGAAAAATAAATAACACAGTATAAATTCAGCTAAAAGTAAAAAAAAAATATATGCATGAGTATACATAGAATCAACACTCTCCATGGTGTCAAAAGCCAAAGAAAAGAGGTGGGTGTTAAGAAGAGCCTAGAACAGTGTTTTTCAACCCCTGGTCCTCGGTACACTAGTGTGCTGTAGAAAATCATCCTATTTCACCTCATTGGTCTAAAAAGATTTTTTGATAATAAATTAATTTTCTGCAAATAATATTCCATTTCTGAGTGTGTGTGCTGTTCTAGTGACTGGTGGAGTAATCATGTAATAATTCCTTATGACTAGATTTTGTATATAATTTTGTATATCTAAGTGGACATGTTAAGTGCAATTTGAAAGAAGAAATATAAAATATGATAAAAATACATTTTTGTGTTTATTTGATTCCTATTCAAGACACTTAAGATAAGATAAGAATAAAATAAGAATAACTATAGTGTTACTAT